CCCCAACCCCCGCGCTTAAAAACCTCGTTTCATCTCAACTTATGCGGCGGGGCGAGGTGTCAGAACCTCACTACAGGCCTCTGGGGCTTGCCCGGCGACCTCTGGTTCCGGGATCCGAATCGAGCCTTCTGGGGTGATCACGGGCGTGTACGGGAGAGGCCGCAGGAATAAGTGGTTAAGAAGGTTTCCGGACGAGTCAGGCTTGGAATCCTGGTTTGATGCCCCTTTGCTGCCTCTGTGATCCGGGCAAGCGAAGTAACCCTTCTGAGCCTCTTTGTGATCATCTGTAAAATAGGAACGGTGAATAATAGTACCTGCCTCCTCGGGCGGCTGGAAGGACTAAACGAAACTGTGTATCCGATCGCTCGTGTGCTATTAATAGTTTGAGTGGGTACTTGCTTTGTGCGCGCAGGCACTGCGTTGGTCCCTGGGGTTTGCAGCCTGTGGAACAGGTTTCTGCCCTCAGGCTGCTGATGCGTAACAAAAATGCGTGTGCACATAACCAGGACGCCGAAAACTGGAACACCACTGCTAGATTTGAAAAAGGAAGTTAGTATTTGGTGTGTGGTATTCGTTGAGACTGCCCAGGCAGCTTCCTTAAAGAAGCAAGTTCAGACTTGGGGGTGGTTGGAGCATTTCAGGACTTGGTTGTGCTGTTAATGCTGAAATGGCATTGTTACTTCTTTAGTCTGTGTTAAAGCTGAGATAAAATCCGGATGTTTAACACAGTCCTTAATGTTTTGGTCGCATTTACTATTGGATAGAAATGGAAGATTAATTTTCGAATGAAATGTTTATTTCCACCTGGTGTCCGAGATAGGCTCGTAAGAGTGCTGCCCAGTTACAGATACACCCGTATAGATGTGCAACATTTGGGGGGTGAGGATAGGTTAAGGAAAAAAAAAGGTAGAACAGTAATTATCAGAATGCAAGATTCTAGCTAGAAGTTGAAGGACATTCTAGGGTTAAAAAAAAAAAAAATCCCAAACCTTGGAAGGTAGTTCATATCAGAACCTAGAGTTTGAAACCTGAAATCTAAAAGGTAATTGTTTTTATTTATTTTTTATTTTATTTATTTTTAAATTTTTTAAATTTTCTTTAAGTTTGTTTTTGAGACAGAGTATGAGCAGGGGAGGGTCAGAGAGAGAGGGAGACACAGAATCCGAAGCAGGCTCCAGGCTCCCAGCTGTCAGCACAGAGCCCGACGCAGGGCTCAAACTCATGGACTGTGAGATCATGACCTGAGCTGAAGTCGGATGCCTAACCGACTGAGCCACCCAGGTGCCCCTGGTTTTTACTTTTTTAATGTTTATTTTTGAGAGAGGGAGAGAGAAGAGAGCTCGCACGCGAGTGAGCTTGGGGAGGGGTAAGAGAGAGGGAGACAGAATCAAAGCAGGCTCCAGGCTCCGGGCTCTCAGCACAGAGCCTGATGCTGGGCTCGAACCTACAAACCGTGAGATCATGACCTGAGCTGAAGTCGGACACTTAAACCGACTGAGCCACCCAGGCGCCCCTAAAAGGTATTGTTTTAAAGACAAAATTACTAGGTTTGCCAGATGTTTTAATGGAGATATTAGATAAACTTCAGTTTTATTGATGGTTTGAAGTAGATGCTTATTCGCTAGAACTGAGTCCTATCCCCCTGTTAAACAACTATTAAAAATGCAGAAAGGAAAAGGGAAAATTAATTTTATTTCAGCGAGTATTTAATTTAATTGGCATTTTCAATGTATCCTTAATGTGGCTTATATACTGAAAGTAAAAAATTGATCTGCTGCCATCCATGGTGCTAAAAGTACTGATAATGGGTGTTTAAAAAATAGATCTATTTCCGGGTGCCTCGGTGGTTCAGTCAGTTGAGCGTCCGACTTCTGCTCAGGTCATGATCTCACACCTCGTGAGTTCGAGCCCTGTGTTGGGCTCTGTGCTGACAGCTCAGAGCCTAGAGCCTGCTTCAGATTCTGTGTCTCCCTCTCTGTCTGTCCCTTCCCTCCTCATGCTCTGTCTGTCTCTCTCTGTCAAAAATAAAATAAAAATGTTAAAAAATTTTTTTTCTTTTTACTTTCTATAACTTACTTATTTTTTATAGTTTACATCCAAGTTAGCACATGGTGCAACAATGATTTCAAGAGTAGATTCTTTAATGCCCCTTACCCACTTAGCCCTTCCCCCTCCCACAATCCCTCCAGCAACCCTGTTTGTTCTTTGTATTTAAGAATCTCTTATGTTTTGTCCCCCTCCCTGTTTTTATATTATTTTTGCTTTCCTTGCTTTATGTTCATCTGTTTTGGATCTTAAAGTCCTCCTATAAGTGAAGTCATATATTTGTCTTTCTCTGACTAATTTCGCTCAGCATAATACCCTCTAGTTCCATCCACGTAGTTGCAAATGGCAAGATTTCTTCTTTTTGATCGCCGAGTAATAAATACTCCATTGTATATATAGACCACATCTTCTTTATCCATTCATCCATCAGTGGACATTTGGGCTCTTGCCACACTTTGGCTATTGTT